CCATCGGATGAGGTGGGGAGTGGAGCGGAGGGTGGGGGGAGAGGGTGGGTTTTGAAATTGGGTGAAGGGACTCCAACGAACGCGACGGCCGGCCTTTTTTTCGCTTCCTCCGGAAAATAGATTAGAGAAGACAGCAGTGGGAGATGAAAGGGGTAGAAGGGCCTGGGCTGGCCCGCACATGGGCCTGGGCCGCATCTGTTCGAGCAGCGCCGGAGGCTGCCATTCAGCCTGATAGCTTCCTCAAAAAAAAAAAAACAGCCTAATAGCTAATGAGGAGACCTAACTATCAAAAAAACGATGGAGGGGGAAGAGGTGCTTTTAGTTTTATTTTTTATTTTTTGAAACCGAAGAGGTGCTTTTATGAACAAGGGAGGTGTGGGTGCTGGACTACCGGTAACGATAGGGAAGCAAGGAAGAGATTGATTGCTTCGGATGGCTCTCTCAATATCCGGGGACAGTCGGTACTAAACCTGGCGGGTAAAGTGGCAGATGCAGTTCTGATGATTGAAGGGTCTACTCTGGATTTGAATGCACAAGACCCAAATACTACACCGGAGAAATCTCAGATTACCAAGAGAAGGAGGCAGGATGGAGATGAAGAGTGTGTCGAGATGGACTACACAGAAGAACAGGAACATGCTACACGGGTTCATGAACATCGCGATGAACATCGCAATGAATACGTTATGTTGGAACTGTCGCGGTTTGGGCAACTCCGCGACAATTTGAGAGGTTCGTGTTCTCACGGCCAAATTTGCCCCGGTCGTACTGTGTTTAGTGGAGACCCAATTACCTAATGTACGTGACCAGATACTAGCTCATTTTTTTGGTTATGATAGACCTTTTGATGTTGGAAGCTTCGGGAGGAGCGGTAGACTTGTAATTTATTGGAATGATGCAATAAAGTTAGAAGTTAATGGTTATTCTAGATATCATATTGATGTTAACATGGGTGAGCTTGGACCGAGACATTGGATGCTAACCTGCGTGTATGGAGAAGCCCAAGCGATAGAGCGTTATAAGACGTAGGAAACATTATGCTCAATAGTAGGAACATCAGATTGGCCGTGGGGGGCACTAGCAGACTTCAACAAAGTGTTGCTGCAATCGAAACATGATGGAGTCAACCCGAGGGAGCAAGGACATATGGATGGATTCCAGGATGCCTTAGATATTTGTGATCTTGGATACAAAGGGAGGATGTGGATGTTTGAGAAAAAGGTCTTAGGTGGATCACCCGTGTTCGCCTAGACCGAGTTGTTGCAGATTCAGAATGGAACTCGATTTTCCCCTTTAAAGAAGTGGTAAATGAAACGGCGGCGTGTTCGGATCATGGTGTACAACAAGTTACAGAAGCAGCAGCATATTTCACAAAACAGCAGCATATACATATTTCACAAAAGAGCTACATTCCACAAAACAACAGCATATACATATACATATACATGTAATCCATTCATTACATAACAGTAGAGTAATCCATTCATTACATAACAGCAGCATATTTCTCAAGCCGACGGCATAAGCAACATAGTTCAACAAGTCCGCAACATACTTTCGATAAGTCCATAACATAGTTCGACAAGTCTGATTACATAACAGCATATAAAATAACAAGTCCATTACATAATAAAGATATCAAATAGCAAGTTCAAAGCCACAAGTTGATGACTCTTTTGAATCCATCTCTTCCTTGTTCCATCAAGCTATCTCAACTTAATCATTTTCCTGGATGAAAGCACAAGTTGAAAATAAGGAAGATAGGAATGGCATGAAGCACGAAAGCAAGTTTGATATCAACAAACAAGACAAGATAGTAAAGGAGTGCATAACTGATATATGGTAAACAAAACAAGATAGTAAGTTAGATAGAAATGACATAAATGAATACAAACCGAATCTGAAGATAACTCATCTGCATGAGAACTTGAATGTCCACCTCCTGTAGTGCTCATTTCTACAAAACAAATAATACAAGAATCAATGGTAATGTGTGCAATGGTGATGTTAATATGAAACAACAATAGACGCTTAATTGTACCTTCATTCTGAGACATCTTCCAACGATACCAATCTTGGAGACACATTAAAGCCTCGATGGTCTTAGGCTTAAGTGAAGCTCGGTTAGGTGTTATAACTTTGCGACTCATGATAAAGGCTTGTTCTGAAGCAACACTAGAAATGGGGACACCAAGAATATCACGAGCCATTGATACAAGCTCAGGGTATCGCATAGATGATTTGCTCCAAAACTCCAAGACATTCAACTCGTCATTCAATTTTCTAGGAGTTTCTTCCAAATAAAGATCCAATTGAGACCTCTCTACATTTGTCCGTTGAGATTGAATGTAACTCTCGTAGTCATCGAACATATCAGCACCATCTCCCCTACTTCCCCTACTGTTTGTAGCACCATCTGATGATGTTTGACTAACAGCAGCACCACTATATTCAGCAAACAAATTCTCCAAAGTTTTCTTTTCATGCATCCGACGTTGTGCCTCATCAGGGGCATAAAGTTTTCCATAACAGTAGCTAACAAAACCAAGCTTGCAATGGGGATCAAGGACAGCAGCACAAGACACGAAGACATTATAACCAGCCCAATATTTATCAAACTTCTCTTTCATTGGAGCTAACATTGGTGCCATGAACTCATGTCCTTCACTAAATGCCTTCAAGACACATGATTGAACCAAGAACACACACTGGAAATACAAATTGGAAGTAGGATACTTTGTCCCGGACAATGTGCACGTCACTTTATAAAATGTTTTCAAAAAATCATGCATGATACGAACCTTTTCCCATTCATCATGAGTAAGAGAGAAGTTTGACTTGAATATGCCATCCCTATTACCAAACCACAATAATGCATCTTTGAAATACAAAGCATTCTCAAGCATTGTGTATGTTGAATTCCAATGGACCGGCATATCTACTCTTAACCTTTTATCTTCATTCAAATGGTAAATGTTCTTGGCAGTTTCATAGAACTTGTGAATGTGATTGCTAGAAATTTTGATATATTGAATGCCCTCTCTAATCTTGTCAACAGATTTATCAATAAGTTTCAGACCAGCTTGGACAATCAGATTTAAAATGTGTGCACAACATCGCACTTGAAAGAAAGTTCCAAACAATGGTAACACACCTTTAGGCAGCAATGTAGTTCTCAAAGTGTTGGTCATCGAATCACTGTATGCAGCATTATCAAGAGTCATGAACACTATTTTGGTGTCAACCTTCCACTCACGAAAACATAAATGGACTTCATCAGCAATTGTAGCCCCATCATAAGGTGGGTTCAACTTTTTAAACCATATTATCCTTTTGTTCAGTCTCCAAGCATCATCAACATAATGAAAAGTAATACAAATATAACTAAACTTTGTCACATCTGATTTCCAATTGTCCGTGGTGAAGCTAACTCTACCAGGGCTATTGCTGATAGTTTCTCTCAATTCAGTCCTCTCTCTTTCAAACATTGCCATGATATCCCTTTTAATTGTGTACCGACTAACAATCTTAAACTGAGGACAAGCAGCACCAATCATTTTTTTGAACCCCACTTCTTCTATGACACTAAATGCATGTGAACCCCCAACTAGGAACATAGAGATTGCAACTCTAATAGTTTCCATG